TCTCTCTCGTTCTCTCTCTCTCTCATTCTCTCTCTCTCTCTCTCGTTCTCTCGTTCTCTCGTTCTCTCGTTCTCTCGTTCTCTCTCTCTCATTCTCTCTCTTTCTCTGCTGTTTTATTTGGTCCAATTTTCCACAAATGCATCCAGGCACAGTTGACGATAGGGGCGCGAACCCCCACAGTCGGGACGAGAGGAATCGAGGTAGGAAGTAGGCTTTTCTTGGGGGGATCATCATTTCCGCCTTGGGACGGCGTCCTGACATGCCTCTCGTTTGGAAGTAGTTCGTCTCTGTATTTTTCATCGTCTCTTGTCTTCGTTTATTGAATCGTTGTTGTTATTTTCATTATTATTGTTGGTATTTATATCTATTATTATTATTATTATTATTATTATTATTATTATTATTATTATTATTATTATTATTGTTGTTATTGTTTAGTTTTCATTATTTTTATTATTATTATTGTTATTGTTATTGTTACTATTATTATCATTGTTATTATCCTTGTATTTATTATATTTGTTATTATTATTGTCATTGTTATTATTATTATTATTATTATTATTATTATTATTACTATTATTATTATAATTGTTGTAATTGTTGTTGTTATGGTTATTAGCTTTATCAATATTATTGCATTCCCCTTTCTCTTAAGATTATTATAATGATAATTATTTTTATGATTATTATTATTATCATTAATATTATTATTATTATTATTATTATTATTATTATTGTTATTGTTATTATTGATATTAATATTATTACTTATTATTATCGTTATTGTTACTATTATTACTATTATTTTTATTATTATTATTATTATTATTATTATTATTATTATTATTATTATTATTATTATTATTATCATTAATGTTATTATTAATTGATATTAATATCAACACCACTATTAATTATTAATATCAGGCTTAATAATAAAAGAATGTAATAAAAGAACGAGGAAGATAAGAGGAGATAATAATAAAATAATAAGAAATATTATGAAATGATAATGAAGATGATAATAATGCTGATAATTATAATAGTGATAAAAATAATAATAGTAGTAATAATAATAATGATAATAATAATAATGATAATGATAATAATAATAATGATAATAATATCAATAGTAATGATAATAATGATGATAATGAAAAAATACTACTAATAATAAGAATGATAATAGGAATAATTAGATGATAATGAGGATAATAATATGATAATAGAATAATGATAGGAATGACAAAGAAATAAAGATTATAAAGTAATAACGAAAATGATATAAGAAAAGGAATAATGATAATAATAATGATACAAACAACGATTATAACAATAATAATAATAGTAATGATAGTGATGATGATGTTGATGATTATGTTAATAATGATAATGAAAATAGTAATATTATAATTATTATAATGGTAACAATAGGAAGATGATAACATAATACACAATTAACATTCCGATATATTTTTTTCCTTATTTTTTTATTTATTTTTATTTTCATTTTTTATTTTTATTATTATTATTATTATTATTTTTTTATGTTAGGCTATTATCATCGTTATTTTTTCGTGTCGCTCTTTCTCTATTTTTATCTCTTTCTGTCTGTCTGTCTCTCTTTCTCTTCCTCCTTCCCTCCCTCCTTTGCTCTCCCTCCCTCCCCTCTCCTCTTTCTCTCCCTCCCTCCCTCTTCCTCCTTTCTCCATCCCCCCCCCACTCCCCCTCCTTCCTTCCCCTCTTCCTCCTCCCTCGCTCTCATTCTTCTGTATCATCGTCATCTTTGGCCACGCACACGCACTCCCCCCCCAGACTTTTGCTTCTCGCCTCACCTTCTCTTGTGTTTGTGACCTTCGTAGCGGCTGGGTGATGGTGGGCAAAGCCTTCCAGAACAGTTACATTGGCCTCGGCATTTTTCTGAGCCTCATTGCCCTCTCGGCCTCTGCGCTGGCGGCTGCGATGGGCGTACTCATTCTGTGGGTAGGTCGTGAGAGGTTGTTTTATGTTTTTGTTTTTATGTTTTAGTTTTTTTTTTTTTTCAGATTTTATTTCTCTCTCTCTCTCTCTCTCTCTCTCTCTCTCTCTCTCTCTCTCTCTCTCTCTCCTTCTCTCTCTCTCTCTCTCTCTCTCTCTCTCTCTCTTCTCTATCTCTCTCTTTTGTTTCTTTTGTTTCTTTACTGTAGTATTTTTGGTCCTTTTGTTTTTTTTTTCTCATCTTCCCCTCCCTTCTCTTCCTCCCCTCTTCCCTCTCTTGCTCCGCCTCCACCTTCCTCTTCTTCCTCCTCTTCCTCCCCCTCCTTCTTCCTACTTCCTCCTCCTCCTCCCCCTCCTCTTCCTTCTTCTTCCTCCTCCTCTTCCCCCTCCTCTTCCTTCTCTTCCTCCTCCTCCTCTTCCGCCTCCTCTTCCTTCTTCCTCCTCCTCCCCTCCTCTTCCTTCCTCCTTCCTCCTCCCCCTCCTCTTCCTTCTTCCTCCTCCTCCTCCCCCTCCTCATCCT